ACAACGATTGTAAAATCGATTAATTCATCGATAAATACAAAAATCTTCAATATCGATTATTGTACATATCGTTAACAACAACAACGACAATATAAATGACTAAATCTATAACAAAATCAATTATTTAATCGATTATTGTGCCGATAACAATATCCATTATTGTATCGATAACAATATCGATTATTATATTGATTATTATATCGATTACAATAGCGGTTATTTAATCAATAACAGTATCGATAACAATATAGATTATTTTATCGATAGCAATATCGATTATTATATCGATAAAAATATCGAGTTTTATATCGATAACAATATCGATCTTCATCCTCATCCTTTTCTTCATATTTATCTTTATTTTTGCATATTCCTCTTCACCTTTACCTTAAAGTGTTTAAATTTACTTTGATCTTCGTTTTTGCCTGTACCTCTAGGCATCTTTGTTTTTGTTTTTATTCTCAAACCGCTAAACCGCTGAGAACTATTTCCATGTGCATTATTCCCCTTGAATTTGACAATTTACTCCCAACCAACCAACTGCCGCTAAAGAAGTTTCACTTCATAAATTCAAGAAATGTTCTTACCCTTTCAGTTACCCTAATTCTTATGTATCTGTCATTGTCTCCATTTTCGTCTTTATCTTCACTTTTGCCTTCTTTTTTTTGACTTCATCGTTATCATTTATTTCTTCATCTTCATATTTATCTTTATTTCAAAGCTTAATTTCAAATGTGTAGTGAAACAACAGGCGAAACATGTCAAATTGAACATGTTGCAGCAACATGTATACACAATTCGAAAATGTTTAAACGACGGTTTTGGCTGTAATTTTCAACCAATTGTGAAACCATAAAAACTCTGCTCATCTACGGAAAAATGCCTTTCCAACGGTGTTCTTGGTTTTGAAATCGGTTCGGTAGAATCGCCAAACGAACGGAGACAAAATTTATGTTAGCGTATTAATATATAGATTCTCAAACCAAAAATCTCTTTCGATCGATACCCATATCCATGATACAATAATTTAAAGTTAAAACCGCTGAGAGCAAGCCTGAATATTTGTGAAGTTTGCTAACATAGCAAAAATATTTTAAAATTTTTAATCTCACACATATATATGTACATTCTCACTTTTAGTCTCAAATAAAATCAAAATTGAATATTTTCATTTATTTATTTTACTTTTATTTGGCATTTGAGTTGTTCTGAAAATTTCAATTTCATAAAGTAGACAAACTTCAACAAATAAATGACGGCCGACGAAATGAGCGAACGGCTTTACCTTTAAATACTTAATATTTCTTAATATTTCATAAAACTTTTAGTCAATTCCACTTTGCTTTTGTTTGACATTGTGATACTTATGTATTTCAATACACTGATGAACTAAGTTGAATTTGATTGTTGAAACACGTGACGACTCTCCTAAATAAAGGTCGGAAATAAAGAGTTTTCAAACCCATTTCGATTGATACCCACCCTTTAATAATACTGGATCAAAAATTTTTATTTGGATTTTGTTCTCCAGACGCCACTATCCAATTTGTATGTAGAAACGCCCGCTGATTCCAAAAATCGAGTTAAATTTTTATTCTATGGATACGTTATCATGGGCGTCGCTACGTAGGGGCAGGGGGGGGGCTCGAAATTTTTTATTATTATTCTATTGTACGTAAGATAGATATACAAGAAAATTCAAAAGATCCCATTGACGAGATTTTCAAAATCTGGTTTTAGGTCAGTTAAAGCTGTTATAACAATTCTGTTAAATGTTGGATAGTCAATATGTACGTTGGTTTAAAATCTCCAGTCAAAAATATCCAACAGCGAAATTCCGGCGAAATATCATCTGTTCTCTCACGAGAGAAAAATATCCAAAATAGTACGCGAACAGAAAATTTGCAGACGAACAGCTGATAGAAATTTTGTTTACATTAACAGGTCTATTCTGCACGTTACCGAAGATTTTGTGACCGGAAAATTTTATTACCAAAAAATGTTACCACTTCTTGTCACCGTGATTCTAGGTACGTTGGTAATGCAGTGAAAATATTCAGCAGCTCAGCTATGAAGATTTGTGGAAATTCCTGTATTGCATATTTCACGGGGCAATATTTTGTTACCAGCTTATGTGATGGTAACCAAATTTACCGGTTACAAGAGAGCACAGAATGTGAAAAAGGTTTAAAAATTTACAGACACTTTAATTGCCGGTTATAAAATTTATGTTACCAGCGCAGAATAGACCTGTAAAAAGTATAAAATTGAAAACGTAAGAAAACGAATCCTGAATTCTTATCCTGACACAGTTCACTGACTAAACGAATAATTACTTATTTCTTACAAATTTAATTAGTCGCATTTTACTATTTCAACTTCCAAACCATCAAATTCAATTTAGGGATTTGCGTAAATTCCAACCAGCTCTTCGTGATCAGCTTTTTTCTTGTTGGCAAATATGTGTAATACGTATGAAATATGTATTTTAAAAAGTAAAAAGGGCAAAAATGTTCTACGCAAGGAGAAAGTAAAAAGAGCCGTCCTTTGCTAAGCAAAGAGCCGCATTTGGCTCAAAGAGCCACGTTCGCCCACCGTTGGTATATAGATTTTTAATTAGGTAATTGTTTAATAAATTTTACTATAGTAG